CTTTTATGAGATTTCAAAGATAATAAAACATTTTTACTTTATCTTCCATTATATGCTGTAACAAAAAATATGATAAATTCCTACTTTAAAACTATATCACAATAATAAACGGAAAATGTTTTATGTCATGAAACTAAGAAGGCATGCATTTACATAAATTCATTTAACGCTTGCTTTACAATTCCAAAGCATGCTGCTTATAACGCCGCGTCAAGGTAAAGTAGACACACTCTACCCCGTTTATTATTTAAATAATTCCGTCCTGTAAATAAATTAAACTTTGTCTTTATTTGACAGGAACCGATTCGCTGGTTCGAACCGGAGACATATAAAGCTAAAGTAGCAGCAGCTGGTCTTGTTACAGTATTGCCGATCGGGGAAGGAGAAACTGATCCAGAATGAAATTGAAGACGTCAGAAAATTTGGACATCAGGAAATTGTATGTATTAATTTACATTAATAATCTATCTCGATATATTGTGACCGATTTTTGATAGCAAACAGATAAACGTTTGTGAATGAATAAACGCACAATATATTTGGAGATTACTGATGAACGTATAATAATTTCTGAGTGTAATAACGTTGTAGGCATCGCTCAATTCAACTGCAGCAATACAAGTTCAATGGTTTAAAAATGTTCAAATCTAAATTGTTTTTCATACGTAATATAATATTTTGATAAGCATTTATGCTTTTGTATTACATTCGTATGCAACTTACTGAAATCTGCTAAATTGCTATTTTATTACTTAATTGAATTCAATGCTTCGTACGTGTTTCGTAGTACATAAAACACATCTATTATTTTTATTAATTTAGTGTTATTACTACTACCACTACTACTACTACTGCTACTACTATTATTATTACCAGCACTATTTCTATGACTGTTAGATGATTCATACAAACACTTATGAAAGACAATAAAATGATTTTTATATTTTTAGTATTATAAATCAAATTGCAGTACTCGTAAAAATATAACTTAGCATGATTTCCAATAACCGGATACGTTATTATCTAAGATAACAGCATTTCCATTTATTTCAATTGGATTGCTATCAATCGAATCGAAAAACAGAAATGATTATAATTTACACTCGGGAGCGTATAAATCCGTGGAAGTATGTTTTAGTATTCGAAGAATGCTTACACTCTTTACGTGTAACATTTATTTTGTTACGCTTAACAAATCGTAACAAAATAGTGATTTAGCATACGCTGAATAGTCTAGTCTATACCTTTTTAAAAATAGGAACTACCATTTTGGTAATTACTCTGCTGTGACATATTAACCAAAAAGATAATTAAAATAAAAAAAATATGATTTTTCATTTAATCCTAAATCAAGATTTTATATTTTATGTACCATAACTGATATGATACGGATATGCGTAGTATGTATTATTAATTGTACGGAGAGGTACGGAAAGAAAAATTCTGTCGATTTTTATATTGTTTATCAATAAGACTAATATATAATTTTCAATGTTGCATACAAAATCGATGTACTATAATCGACGAGAGTTTATGTCCTCTTAGAGATTTCAATAAGACGTCGCTTCGTTATCGTATTAGTTTCCCTTGTTTCAATTAAAATTGTTATTTATTGTAAATGTTTCATCAGCCAGAAATTTTATGTTCAATCAATTTCGATTCGACGCCCCTTTGTTTCGAACATACGTTTCATCTTCTGGCTTGGAACATCGATATTATTTAATTTATATTTATTTTGCTCGGGACTAAATCGAATTGCACAGACTTGGGAACGTCATGTTTGTACGCCTTTAATATTTATTACAAATTTACACGATGATATTATTCGATTTAAATTATTAATAATTTATTTCTATCGTCACTAACTGCAGTAATATAATAGTATATTATTGTATTTTGCTCTTTAATAATAAATCAATAAAAATGAAGAGTACTGACCGGTTTTATTGAACCATAATTAAATCGTACTTAAGGGGGAGTCGTGAAACACGTGAACGTTCGAACCGGTGAAAATAAATCGACTGACCCTTCGGCACTATAAGTTTTATTATTTCATTATCGTATAGAAATGATTGATAATCGAAATATACATACACCTTCGATTTGTGCACACTTCATTGTACTAGACGATCGATTGTTTAGTTTTCATTATTCCGTTTCTTGTAAAAGTTAAAAATGTTATATCATTTGACGTTATTATGTGCATGAAACATTTGATATCAGAGGCCTATTTACTGATTGTATTACATTACAATAATAGCGTCATGTCGATTAGTTACTAATTTCTATATTGCAAATGATGTTTAATAAAATAAATTAAAACGGTGTGTAACGTGTGTACGCGTACACGTAATGTATCTTAAATTCAGTCTACTTCATCATCGTATAAATTAAGTAGTCTGATACACAGTACTAGCTTGAACGAGGAAACAATTGAGTTACACGGTACGGCACAGCGTTCACTACCTTTAACTATAACACGTTGAAACAAATATAATAGATCGACCACTTCGCATCGTTAATTAAATGCGATCAGACTTATCTAAACAACTAGACTGTAACGATAGCAGACAATTAAATTATACGACCCTTCATTTAATTAATTGGCAGTTTCGCACGAACAGTGGACTTCGGTTACGATTAACAATTAATAAAACGCGAACTATATTCTGTAGGTCTATATAAAATAAAATTACCATTTCTAAAAGAGCCACCATTCCGATTACATGTTCGTATAATTTTACCATTACAGTTTCCTCTTAAATATATTATATTAATGTATAAGTGTGGGTGTAAAAAGTCTTGTATATTTATATGTATTCAACGCAGAACCGTGGGAATATCTTATTATCAGTGACGAGTAATTGAACATCGAGCACATAGTAAAACAAATATTTACATGTCTAAGAAAAATTCATGCTAAATTTAATTTGTCGACACGTTCAGAAACAATTTCGAATACATTTAAACAAATTACTCGCCCCTGTTTCACGTACTCCAAGATAAATAGGCAAATAGATCTTAATCTATTCTAGATATGGTTTACTTATAACAGATTAAAATAAGATATTTCATGTTCACGAACATTAATCAATTTGAGTCCCATTATTCACGTAAACAAAGATATTCTTTTAATGTAGAAGAATATCTTATACAAAGGATTGACAGACACGTACTG